TCTTTTACTTCCTTGAAAAATCTTGGCTTGGATGATCTGTGAGGTCTAATTTAAGACTGCTTTGCTTGTAATTTCATGTTATGGTGCTAGGAATGACCTATTTCTAAGAATGTCAAATAGATCTATGTAAGTCATTCACCTTACACTTTATTGTTTTATAGCAGGTTGAAATACAGTCTGATTTCTGAATCTGAACTTGGAATGCTGAGAGGATGTTGAAAATAAATTAATACCCCTAAAGGTTCCTTTCCTTCAAGTTATTTTCCAAATTGTTTATTAGTATGGCATAAAGTTTTAGCTTCACACTGTTACTTGTGATGGTCTCTTCTTATTAATAAAACAATCTATTCCCATTTTTACTGTGTTCCAGGAAGTTTTTTTTAAAATATATTTTTACTGATTTTTAGAGAAAGGGAAAGGGAGAGAGAAATAGAAACATTCAATGATGATAGATAATCATTGATTGGCTGCCTCCTATTGGGGATGGAGCCCACAACCTGGGCGTGTGCCCTGATCAGGAATCACCTGAGATCTCCTAATTTGACACTTAACCACTGAGCCACACTGGCCAAGCTAGGAAATTTTACATCAAACCTTTTTTCCTTGAATTCATTCATTTCATTATTTACCATTTGACTGAATTTCAGTAGGGTTCCAATTTAAAAAAAAGAATATGGTGCTAATTACACTTTTTTTAAATTTCATCTTTTTCCCCCCAAATGTTAAGTACCTGAGCATTTGAAGGTCTGAAAAAAAATGTTTTAGGGATTTAGGAGAAGCAAAAAAAGTTTGGGAGAGAGTGTGTGTGTGTGTGTGTTGCTTTTTTGTTTCCATGCATAATTCAGGGACATAGGCTTTAAATTATAGCAGTCAGAATACCAGAGGATGAGTCCTGCCAGCAAAGCTCAGTGGTTGAGTGTTAACCTATGAAACAAAAGTTCATGGTTCAATTCCCGGTTAGGGCACATTCCTGGGTTGAAGGCTCCATCTCCAGTTAGGGATGCGCATGAGACAACTGATCAATGATTCTTTCTCATCAATGTTTCTCTCTCCCTCTTTAATGTTTTATCTCTCTCTCCCTCTCCCTTCCTCTCTGAAATCAATAAAAATATATTTTAAAAAAGAAGAAAAAAGTGCAAACTACTAGATATACTAATTCAGGAAATGTGCCTTCATATGTATACAAGGGAGCAAATACTAGGACATAAATGCAGGTGCCCCGACCCCCCAGAGTATTATCTTCTATCTATCTATATATATTCTATATATACAAAAGGCAAATATGCAGTGTGCCCTCGGGAGTTCAACCTGAAGTAAGATCGCTTGCTATCACATGCACTGACCACCAGGGAGCGGCAGCTGGAAGACCCTGATCAGCCCTGATCACTGGCCAGGCCTAAGGATCCTACCCGTGCACAAATTTCATGCACGGGGCCTCTAGTTCCTCAGATAATATTCCATGTTTGATGTGAGAAATTAACCAGGCCTATGCATTCTGAACTCCAAGATATATTGGTAAGGAGGAAAGCAGACTGCTAAACAATATTGGTTCAAGTTTAAATATGCAATTATATTTCTTTAGACACATAATATGACTTAAAATGTCTGACAAAGTTTTGAAAGGATATATACCAGAATGCTATTGGTGGTTACGCTGTCCAAGTGGGGGAATAGGGTTATAGAGAATAGTTAATAACTTTTGAAAATTTCTTTGAAATAAGACCTATCATTTCATTCATAGCTATTTTCATTAGTATGTACAAATGGTATTAATGCCAAACAGTAATAGAATATGTCTAGTGAACTGCTTTTTAATAATAATAAACCAAGGAAGGTTGGAATTACACTAGAGATGTAGATTATATGTATTTCTTTAGAAATATCCCTTTTTGAGGACAGTGAATATTTTTTACATTTAAAAATGTTAGAGCGAATTAATTTTGGATGTCAGTGGTTGTGAATGTACTGAATTAGGCTCCAAAATATTTAGAGACTTGAATATTTTCTTAAACTTGCCTGCACATGAGAGCGCCAGTATGGGGTGAGGAGGGGAGACTTTAAAAAATTCTGGATTCTTGCCTGAGGTGCCTTCTACATCTCAGGCATTGTTCTAGCAAGCTTCTGAATACACAGTTGTAACTAAAATGAATCTGGTGAACATTGTAAAAATTGTCAGTTTGTTGCATGGTACATAGATTAGAGACAGGAAAATGGAATAGGGAGGCCAGCATAGTAATCCAGGTGAGATGATGGTGGCTTGGGCCAGGATAGTAGCAAAAAAGATAGAAGCAGATAGATTTGAGATGTTTCCGGAGGAAACTGGGCAAGATTTGCCTGTGAATTGGTCCTGAAAAACTATTGGCCTTGAAGCTCTACTCTGTTTCAGATACCCACAATATCACATTGTGTAGCCCCTACCTCTGAAATACTATATTCACTCATCAACTTTGCTGCCAGTGGATCTTTGTTCCAATACCACTTTGACTAGACTTGTTTTTCAGTCTATATCCATGCTTCATTCTCCCCCTCCATCTCCCCCTACTCTTGGAGTGACCAACTGTCATGGTTTGCATGGTGTGGCACAGCATAGGCATTTCCCGGGATGCAGGATTTTCGGTGTTAAAACCAGGGTAGGTGGTCACCCTACCTCCACCCCTGTCTACCCTCTTCTTTACTCTTGTGTATTATGCTTCATCCATGTTAATTTTACCTTTCTTTAACTCCTAAGACATTTTTACAAGTAATTGCATCTGCCTGTGTAGGATCCTCTCCCATGTTCTACTATCATCCCCTCTGGAACTAAATCACTCATTTTTTGGACCTCAGGTTCAGTCAGGTTTTCCAGCTGTCCAAGGGATTGTGATCCTGGAACACTGCTGCTTACTCTAGCATGTCTTAGCACTTGGCCCTTCACAGATCACTTTTTTTTTTTTTTTAAGAGTTCTTTTAAAAATATATATATTTTATTGATTTTTTTACAGAGAGGAAGAGAGGGATAGAGAACTAGTAACATCGATGAGAGAGAAACATCAACCAGTTGCCTCGTGCATACCCCCCACTGGGGGTATACCCTCAACCAATGTACATGTCCTTGACTGGAATCGAACCCGGGACCCTTCAGTCCGCAGATCGACGCTCTATCCACTGAGCCAAACCGGTTTCGGCACACAGATTACTTTTTAAAAGTGATTTTTAAAATATTTTTATTGACTTCAGGGAAGAAGGGAGAGGGAGAGTTAGATAAAAAACATCAATGATGAGAGAGAATCATTGATCGGCTGCCTCCTGTATGCCTCCTGCTGGGGATGGAGCCCATAACCTGTGCATGTGACCTTGAGTAGAATTAAACCCTGGACCTTTTAGTCCACAGGCTGATGCTCCACTTAGCCAGGGCTGTAATGATCATTTTATTATCTCTTTTTGCTCTACTGTTTACTTTTTGAGCTTTCTTGTTAGTTGTGATATTTTAAAGTGGCCTCCACCAGTTACTCTCTCCCTTTCATTGCATTTATCAATAATTACTCTGTGACTTAGATAACTTGTTTGTGGGCTTGCACCCCCTACACCACCATGGGAATGACCTACCTTGTTCAGTATACCTTCAGTAGATAGCGCAGAGCCTGCCTCACACATCACTCAAATAAATGTAACAAATGAATGATATCCTCCAGTTTCTGGCATATAGTAATGGTCAATAAAGGTGTTGAATAAAATGGTATTGAGAGGTAGATTATGTTACCCTTAAAAGTAATGTTTGAATTTGTGACTATGTGGAGGAATGCTATTAGTTTTCTAAAAGCAGTATAAAACCCATGTATATTGAATAGATACCAACTATAAAATAAGAAGCTTATATTTTAGTATACTGTGAACTATAAAAAGCATATTAACATACAGATAAAATTTTAATGTCTTTCAACAATTAAAGTCAAGCAGGACTAAGAAACCTCTCGTCATAACTTGGATTCCTGGAATGCCAGCATTATTGTTAGAATTCTAAAGCTAAGGAATTAGATACCTGAAGGTCTTGCTCCATTTTCATTGATCTTTATATAGCTATTAATAATATAGTCTCTTTAGTGTTTACTTCGATGACAACTAATAGGCCTAAAAATTGTTGATACTAGTGAGAGAAATAGGGCTGTGCATCTTTTTTTTTAAAATCAATCTTTATTGTTCATATTATTACAAAGGTTCCTCATTTCTTCCCCCCTCCACCAGGTTCCCATCCCACCCTCCTCCTCCTCCTCCCCATCCCCCATTGTCCTCATCCATAGGTGCAGTTTATGTTCAGTCTCTTCTTCCCTCCCTTTCCCCGATAGTAAATCCCTTTTCAGATAGTAAATCAGTTACTTAGCATTTTCTCATATCAATAATACCTCCACATGCCCAATGATACACTTCACACAAAAGACATTTCCCAATAGGTCAACTAGCCTCATCAGGCCCCACCCAAGGGACTCACAGATCAACACCCCAGCCCTATACTAACTCAACACATCCAGATCTAAGCCTTCATCACTTGATTCAGCAGACCCTCAAGTTCCCGCGAAAGTTTCCAGCCATGTCTGAGAGGCAGCCGTGGGGCAGGGGCAGGCGAGGAGTGAGCTGTTCCGGGCCTGACTGCTCAGGGCCTGGCCTCTGTTGCTCTGGTTCGTTCCACAACCAGCTGCTCCGGGTCTGGTCACTGCCGCTCCTGACCTAGTTGCTCTGGACTTGGCTGCTGCTGCTCCGGGCCTGGCTGCTCCCAGCCTGGCAGCCGCTGCTCAAGGCCTGGCCGCACCCGACCCGGCTGCTCCCTCGGGCCTGGCCGCTCCCAGCCTGGCAAAATTCCACAGGACACAGGACAAATTGTTAAAATTGAGACTGACCCGCCAAAAGCGGGACATCTGGTCACCTTAATCTTATACTACTTTAAGTATGAAGAAACATATCTTTGTTAGTGTTGTTTAATGTCAAGTGTATTGGTTTATTTTATTTTTTTTCTCTCCTGTCTGTAGGCTAAAGAAATTCTGACAAAAGAATCCAACGTGCAAGAGGTTCGATGTCCAGTCACCGTCTGTGGAGATGTGCATGGGCAATTTCATGATCTCATGGAACTGTTTAGAATTGGTGGCAAGTCACCAGATACAAATTACTTGTTTATGGGAGATTATGTTGACAGAGGATACTACTCAGTTGAAACAGTTACTCTGCTTGTAGCTCTTAAGGTAACTTCAATTTTATGTTCAGATATTTTAAACTGGGTAATACAGTTCTTTTGAATGTTCTTTTTTTCCAGAGATTTGTGATTTTCTCTGAATATTAAGTTTTATAATAAAACTTTAGGATTTATCTGTCTTCTTTTTGAGTAAGGGGATGGAATAGAATAAAAACAAAAAGGGTTTTGTGTGTGGGGGGGGAGTTTTTTGTTTGTATTTTTGTTAATCGTAACTCAAGGATTTTTATATTTTTGGTGAGTGGGAGGGAGAGAGAGAGTGAGAGAAACATCGATGTGAGAGAGACACATCAGTTGGTTGCCTTTCCACACACACCTCACCTGGGGCTGGGAATTGAACTTGCAATCCAGGTAACATGCCCTTGGCCAGAAATCAAACCTGAGACTTCATGGTATTTGGGCTGATGTTCTAACCACTTAGCAACACCAGCCAGGGCAAAAAAAAAGCTTATTTCTTAAGGAAGAAAATAACCTTTGATTATTTGAAAAAACATTCGAGGGCTGGTCAGATAGATTTTTAGATCAATAAATTAGGATATGGAGGGAATATAATTACTTTTCTAGACACTTTTGAAGTATTTTAAAGAAACAAAATATCAGTTGTTGGAATGTTACCTTTAAGAATTCATGTTTGAAGCTGTTAAGGGTTGAATTGTGCCGCTACTACCACCAAATTTTATGTGTTTAAGACCTAACCCCCATTACCTCAGAATGTGACTGTTTGGAGATAGGGTCTTCAAAGATGTAAGTAAAATGAGATCAGATGGGCCCTAGCTGGTTTGGCTCACTGGATAGAGCGTTGGCCTGGGGACTCAAGGGTCTCAGGTTTGATCCCGGTCAAAGGCATGTACATTCGTTGCGGGCACATTCCCAGTGGGGGGTGTGCAGGAGGCAGCTGATCTTTGTTTCTCTCTCATCGATGTTTCTAACCACTATCCCTTCCCCTTCCTCTCTAAAAAATCAATAAAATAGATATTTTAAAATGAGGTCAGATGGGGAGCCCAAATATAATTTTACTGGTGTCCTTTTAAGAGTTTGGACACAGATACATAGGAAAAATGATAAAATGATAAGAATAGAGACATTTACTTGCAAAGGAGAGGGGCCTTCATATGTAACCAATTCTGCCAACATCCTCTATAACTGTGAGGAAATACGTTTGATATTTAAGACACCCAGTCTGTGATGCTTTGTTATGACAGTTTATTCTTTGCTATGACAGACTAATATAGGGGGAAGGAAACCAACAAATAGTGATAGAACAGGAGTATCCATTTATAAACAAAAGAAGAGGAGGGGGGACTTAAATACCTCATACCATACAAATGGCTCATAATTGATCATAGACCTAAATATGAGAGCTAAACCTATGAATTTTCTAGAATAAAACTTAGAAAATCTTTGTAACCTTGGGTTAGGCAAAGATTTCTTAACTATGATACCAGAAACATGATCCATTAAAAAATTAATAAGTTAAACTTCATCAGAATTAAATTATTTTTCATCTTCAAAAGGCATCATTAAGAAAAAATGTATTTGTGTTCATATTTTTTTAAAACCTGTTATAACTAAGATGACAATAATTTATAGTATTTGGATATTTCACCCAAGAAAATATCAGTAAGCACATAAAAAGATGCTCAAAAACCTTAGTCACCAGGAAAACATAAATTAAAGTCACAGTCACAGCCAGTCAAAAAACTGTCATCAATAAGGCTGATTGCCGGGACCGGTTTGGCTCAGTGGATAGAGCGTCGGCTTGGGGACAGAAGGGTCCCGGGTTCGATCCCGGTCAAGGGTATGTACCTTGGTCGTGGGCACATCCCCAGAGGGGGCTGTGCAAGAGGCAGCTGATCGATGACTCATCGATGTTTCTAACTATCTCTCTCCCTTCCTCTCTGTACAAAATCAATAAAATATATTTAAAAAATAAATAAATAATAAGGCTGATAATACCAAGTGTTGGTGAATTGATAAAACCAAATGTTAGTGAATTTGTGGAGATTGAATCTTTATGCATTGCTGGTGCGAATATAAATGTTCTGCACTTTGAAAAAGTTTGGCAGTTTCTCAAAAAGTTAAACATATCCCTACCATATGACCCAGCAGTTATACTCAGTTGGGAATCAATATGTTCATATAAAAACTTACATGGCCCTAGCTGGTTTGGCTCTTTCGATAAGAGCGTTGGCCTGTGGACTGAAGGGTCCCAGGTTTGATTCCAATCAAGGGCAGGTGCCCCAGTTGCAGGCTCATCCCCAGTGTGGAGGTGTGCAGGAGGCAGCCAATCAATGATTTTCTCTCAACATTGATGTTTCTGTCTATCTCTTGTCCTCCCTTCCCTTCTGAAATCAATTAAAAAATATTTCAAAAATTAAGTTAAAAACTTACATGCATTAACTTGGGGTGGTAAACACACTGTACAATATATAGATCATGTATTTTATTAACCAATGTTACCCCAATAAATTCAATTTTAACCATGTACATTCAAATAATTATAGTAACATTATTCATTGTAGCCCCAAACTGCAAACAATCCAAGTATTCATTCAACTGGTGAAGAAGCAAAAGGTGGTATGGCCATACAATGGGATACTGTGCAGCAATTAAGAAAGACAAACCACTGATCCATATACTGTTGAGCATCAAAAATATTCTAAGTGAAAGAAACAAGGCACAAATTACTGCATGTTGTATGATTAATTTATATGAGATTACTTAGAAAGTAAATCAGTGGGAGTGACTGCAAATAGGCATAAGGAATCTTTTGGGGATAATGGAATAATTATAAAGCTGGCTTGTGATGGTTGTTGCATAGCTATAGACTTACCAAAAATTATTTAACAAATAATTCATGAACAGAGTGTTATAGCTGGTAATTCCCTTGGTGTAAAATTGTTGGTAGCAGGAGTTTGATTTAGTTCCAATGGGGTTGACAGATACCTCATGGACAAATGCATGTAGATCTGTGTGAGTAAGGATTTGTAATGGTTTTTGTCTTTTTGTTTTTGCCCCCAATAAAATTGGAACTCTGGATTTCCCTGTGGAAGGTTTGCTGAATTGTTTTTTGGTTTTTGAAGGAGCCAGCATTTTATGTTGTTTTTCATTTTGTTGTTTCAGGTTCGTTACCGTGAACGCATCACTATTCTTCGAGGAAATCATGAGAGCAGACAGATCACACAAGTATATGGTTTCTATGATGAGTGTTTAAGGAAATACGGAAATGCAAATGTTTGGAAATATTTTACAGATCTTTTTGACTATCTTCCTCTCACTGCTTTGGTGGATGGGCAGGTATGTAGATCTTCTTAAAACTTACATTGCGGATTGTTTAAGTACCAATAATTTCTTTTTCCACTCACATCCCTTTGGGGCCTCTTTGAAGTGCCTTTGTATCCAGCCCTGAACTATATGTTGTGACTACATTCATCCTCTCAAATTGTTTCTGGACACATCTGGGAGATGTAATTAAGGAAACTGATAAAATTCTGTGCGAAAGAAAATGATAGTCTGTGGTGAGAGTGAAATCAGAGAAACATTTTTTTGGAGGAGCAGATCGAAGTGGAGTCTGCATAAAGTAGCGATGGTTTATTGGGAAGAAGAGCAGTGTACTCAATAGTTTGGAGTGGGTTGGGAGAAAGATGGCTTAGAGTGAGGTGCAGAGACAATCCTGGTTGTGGAAGAACACAGAAATACAAGTGTGGTCAAATAATGTGGGCTACTGTCTGCACCTTAGTACAGAATGTTTCAACTTTTTTTTTAGGTGAGATTAACATTATAAACACTCTTTTCAGATCTTCTGTCTACATGGTGGCCTCTCGCCATCCATAGATACACTGGATCACATCAGAGCACTTGATCGCCTACAAGAAGTTCCCCATGAGGTAATGACTTTTATTTGAGTAATAAAGTCTTTTTAGCAAACTTCTTGGAGGAAAAATTTAATTGTAACTTAATTCATTATATGTATTCTTTTGTTTAATTCTCAAAAATAACCCATGTAGTGTGAACACTCTTGTTCCACCCATTCTTCAGAAGGAACTAATATAAGGAATCTGCCAAGCTACCATAATTGTGGGACTGGGCTTAGGACATAGGGTGTAGTTTTCTTCAGAGTCTCTGTCGTAATTACCAGATTCTAGTGCCTAACATTGACGTTTGTGTATCATAGGCAAATTATTAGTTAGGGTTTGTTGCTATTGGGACTCATTGATTGGGGCTATTTCTCTTAAGGTATCTGGAAATAGTCTATTTATTTGACTTTTAACTATAAAACCTTTTACTGTTTTCAGCAAACACTACTTTTTAAAGAAATAAACCAAAATATTTTAAGTAGTCTTTGGATGGTAAGATTACAGTGATTTGAAAGAAGAAAAAGGGAAAATGGGCTCAATTTTTAGCACAGAACATTGATTTTTAGCATACAAATAAAATTAGGGTCCTGTTTAGATTAATTCTAATACAATTCTGTGATTATCAATAAAATCTGCTTTTGATGAGTTATTCAAATCATCTATTAACCATTTTTGCAAGTCTGTTTAACTTAACTTGCTTTTTTAGGGTCCAATGTGTGACTTGCTGTGGTCAGATCCTGATGACCGTGGTGGTTGGGGTATATCTCCTCGAGGAGCTGGTTACACCTTTGGGCAAGATATTTCCGAGACATTTAATCATGCCAATGGCCTCACGTTGGTGTCTAGAGCTCACCAACTGGTGATGGAGGTACGTTCTGTTTTTTAGAAACCTGATTTGCTTTTTTTTTTTCTTTTTTTAAACTTTTATTAATTGATTTTAGAGAGGGAAAGAGAAACAATGATTTGTTGTTCCACGTATTTATGCATTCACTGGTTGATTCTTGTATGTCCCAGACTGGAGACCTCATAAAGTAATTGTGAGGATTAAATAAAACAATGTGGCCCTGATTTGCTTTCTATGTAAACTTAATGAAGGAAGATATTAAGGAGTTTATATGAATGATATTAATGAGAACATAGCCTGTGCCTTTTCAATAGGTACACACTAAAAGTAAAATCTCAAGCTTTGGTCACCATGAAATTCATAGTTAACATTTTCAGAGATTCTTTTTATTTGAGCCAATGTTGATTAGTAACATCATCTAAGTTTCAAGTGTACAATTACGATATTGTGTGCTCACCACCAAAGTCTAATCTCCCTCCGTCACCATAAATTTGACAGAGATTCTTTTTTAATGTGTTTTTATTGACCTCAGTGAGGAAGAGATATATAGACACATCAGTGAGTGAACCCAGGTTGGCTTGGCTCAGTGGTTGAGCATAGACCTATGAACCAGATCATGGTTTGATTCCCGATCAGGGCACATGCCTGGGTTGTGGGCTTGATCCCCAGTAGAAGGCTTGCAGGAGATAGCTGATCAATGATTCTCTCTCATCGTTGATGTTTTTATCTCTCCCTTTCCTTCCCTCTCTGAAATTAATAAAAGTACATTTTTTTAAAAAAGAAACATCAATGAGCATCATCGATCCAGCTGTCTCCTGTATGTCCCCTACTGGGTATTGAGCCTGCAACTGAGGCCTGTGCCTGCAACTGAGGCATGTGCCCTAACCAGGAATTGAACTGTGACCTCTTGATTCATATGTCGATGCTCATCCACTGAGCCACAGATTCTTGATGACCAGATAGTACTTGGGATTTTAAGAGTGGGAAAGTAAGATTCAGGGGGCAGGTGAAGGGGTAATGTAATATTTTATTATCTCAATTTTGTCATTTCATATATTTAATGTGTATGTGTGGAAGAAGAGTTTGGGAAGAAATAAATCAAAATATTTTCAGTAGTCTTTTGGGTGGTAAGGTTACAGTGATTTGAAAAAGGAAAAATGGGCTCTTAGCATAGAACATTGATTTTTAGCATACAAAAAAATTAGGGTCCTATTCAGATTAATTCTGATAAAATTCTGTGGTTATCAATAAAGTCTGACTTTGCTAAAGATAGGGAAAGAAATTTGTGGACAATACTTTAAAAGTAACTCATTCAGCCGAGACTGGTTTGGCTCAATGGATAGAGCGTCGGCTTGGGGACTAAAGGGTCCCAGGTTCGATTCCAGTCAAAGGCATGTACCTTGATTGTGGGCATATCCCCAGTAGGGGATGTGCAAGAGGCAGCTGATCGATGACTCTCTCTCATCGATGTTTCTAAACTCTATCTCTCTCCCTTCCTCTCTGTACAAAATCAATAAAATATATTTTAAAAAAATAAATAAAAGTAACTCATTCATTTGAATATAATGAGGAAATAAAGCCAGGAATGCTAGAAGCATCTATTCTTTTTACCTGGGCAATGACCAACTTGGGACCTTCACTGACGACTAATGAGAGAGTTAATAAGGTTGTGGTCTCCTAGGAATAGTCATCTACCTTTACAAGGAATAGCCATATACTCATTCTTAAATCATGTTTAGAACCACTGCAGTAAGAGAGGCTATGAGACAGATGCTGCTATTTACAGAAGGCTAGATATTTAAGAAGATATATTGGTTATTGGTTCTAATTTAAAAAGTTGTGTACAGCCGGGACCGGTTTGGCTCAATGGATAGAGCGTCGGCTTGGGGACTGAAGAGTCCCAGGTTCGATTCCAGTCAAGGGCATGTACCTTGGTTGCGGGCATATCCCCAGTAGGGGATGTGCAAGAGGCAGCTGATCGATGACTCTCTCTCATCGATGTTTCTAACTCTATCTCTCTCCCTTCCTCTCTGTATAAAATCAATAAAATATATTTAAGAAGTTGTGTACAGCATCAAAAATTATTGTTGTCTAAGAAACAGTGTTGCTATTTTTCAAGCCTTTTTGAGAGAAGAGTTTTTTTTCTTTAAAAAAAATATTTTTTATTGATTTTTTTTACAGAGAGGAAGGGAGAGGGATAGAGGGCTAGAAACATCGATGAGAGAGAAAAAATTAACCAGTTGCCTCCTGCACACCCCCTATCAAGGATATATCCACAATGAATGTATATGCCCTTGACTGGAATCGAACCTGGGACCTTTCAATCTGCAGACCAACGCTCTTATCCACTGAGCCAAACCGGTTTTGGCAAGAGTTTTTTGTTTTTTTCTTGAATGGAGTCACAGTTATGTAAATAAGGGAGTAAAATGTATTTTTATATCTTTTTTTTTTTTTTTTTTTTTTTTTTTGTAGGGATATAACTGGTGCCATGACAGGAATGTAGTAACGATTTTCAGTGCTCCAAACTATTGTTATCGCTGTGGTAACCAAGCTGCAATCATGGAACTTGATGATACTCTAAAATATTCTTTGTAAGTATCTACACCTGAGTAGTTGATTGCTATTATTTGAATATATAGTTTTAATGGGAGTTTTAAGAGTTGAAAAGCTTATGCTAAATACATTCCAATTTGATTTTTAAGTTTCCTTTGAAACACATCTATGGTATTTTGAACTACATCAATAGAAACTTGATATAAATTAGAACTTTAAACCTATATTTTACACATTTAGTAGAGCCCATCTTACAAATGATTATATATAAGGAAGCCTAGTATATAAAAGCATATCCTCTCTGGCTGACGTTATGTTGGCTTTTTGAGGAGACATTCAGCTAGAAGACCCTTATTAAAAGCATGACCGAACTATAGTTTTGTTACATTAAGGCAAGCTGAAATTTGATAGGAAAAAATAGCATGAAATTTGAAAGAATGATGTTCTTGATTTTGATTGTCAGTACAATGGTGTCTTCGAGTACAAACAACAAATATGTCTTGTTTTCAGCTTGCAGTTTGACCCAGCACCTCGCAGGGGCGAGCCACATGTTACTCGTCGTACCCCAGACTACTTCCTGTAATGAAATTTTAAACTTGTACAGTATTGCCATGAACCATATGTTGACCTAATGGAAATTGGAAGAGCAACAGTAACTCCACAAAGTGTCAGAGAATAGTTAACATTCAAAAAACTTGTTTTCACATGGACCAAAAGATGTGCCATATAAAAATACAAAGCCTCTGTCATCAACAGCTGTGACCACTTTAGAATGAACCAGTTCATTGCATGCTGAAGCGACATTGTTGGTCAAGAAACCAGTTTCTGGCATAATGTTATTTGTAGTTACTTTTGCTTTCTATGAGAGACTGCAGATAATAAGATGTAAACATTAACACCTCGTGAATACAATTTAACTTCCATTTAGCTATAGCTTTACTCAGCATGACTGTAGATAAGGATAGCAACAAACAATCATTGGAGCTTAATGAACATTTTTAAAAATAAGTACCAAGGCCTCCCCTCTACTTGTGAGTTTTGAAATCGTTCTGTTTATTTTCAGGGATACCGTTTAATTTAATTGTATGATTTGTCTGCACTCAGTTTATCTCCCTTCTCAAATCTCAGCCTCATGTTGTTCTTTGTTATTGTCAGAACCTGGTGAGTTGCTTTGAACAGAACTGTTTTCCCCCTCCTGTAAGACAAATGTTAACTGCACAAGAGCACTGCAGTGTTTTTCATAATAAACTTGTGAACTAAGAACTGAGAAAGTCAAATTTTAATTGTATCAATGGGCAAGACTGGTGCTGTTTATTTAAAAGATACATCAGTTGATAAATTTTAGAATTTGTAGGATGCTAGGTAAAGAAAAAGAAAAATCAAGTCCATTACATAATCTCTCTGGTAACTCCTTAACATTCTTCAGATGAATTTCATGATTTATAGTTCAGATAGTACAATTTATCTGATTGCCAGTGTGTTCTTTGTGGGTTCTTTCTACATATTAACTTGTTTGCAAGAAAGGAAATCTGTGTGCTACTTCAGTGAGATCGGACTGTAAAACCATGTAACGAGATTTAAGTTTTTTGGGTTTTTTAATAAAACATCATGTTTTCAGGTAGAGCCACAAAGTAAATAATGTGTCTACTTATCATTCAGTGCAGTTTCTGGTTATAAATATTTTGTTATATATGGACTCTTTAAAATGATTGACAGATTGGTAAGTTCTTAACAAATATTTGTACATGTCATATGATCTAAAGTTAAATTTGTCTCAAATGAGAAAGCAGTTAACGTATTATCCTATTATTAAGCTCTTTAAGTGAAACTAGTTAAACCAAATAGAAAATTATTGCTAGATCATTGTTTAGGGTAAATATGCAGAACAAAAATGGCATTTGAAATGAAGGGCAGTGACTACTTAATGAATAGTTTCCCCTCCCCCCTTTTATCCTTTGAGTAGGGTCTGGAAATTAAAACAATTCTATAGAAATTAATATTTGATCATCTTAAGCTATCTGAGTAAGCTTCATAATATTATTCATGTTAGTGTAGTAATAAAAACAATATGTGTTGAATTTGGAACTGACAAGGAAGTTTTTCCAGTTCTTTTTTTATTAGTGGCTTTTGGAAAATACACATACATACTATGTATTTTCTTAAATGGTCCACTTTTTATCTCTTCTGAGATGGCTTACAGAGTTTATTGTACAAAGCATAAAGCCCTTAGTTTTTCTATGTTTCCATTTCACTTTATTATTTAATGCTTTCACAAGAAATACATCTATCTCTCTTTTTTGCTTTCTCATTTTATGCTCTTTCTCTCTGACTAAATAGTTAATGAGTGCCATAGTATTAATCCAATGGCCCTGTGATCTAGATACCAAGCAGCTGTTTTAGATATCAGAATTCACTCTAAAGCACCAATCACCAACCAGTGGTCCGTGAGGGCCAAAAGGATGGGCTCTAAAGGAAATGCAGATCTTGTAATAGACATGTATTCTCATTCAGATACATATTTCTCTATAAAGTACATCTTTGTGATATCAGAAGAGGGGTTGTGGCCAGAATGGTTCGAATTTATTATAGAATGATGACTAGAGTTTAAATTGTCTGATTGTAGATACTGTGGGTTTTGGTCATCTAAATTAGCATTAGTAATCTACCTGATTATGAAATAAGTAAAGAAAATGCATTGGTAAGTATAGTAATTTCCTTTATAAATTTGTAATTGCTGTTAATTTCTCAGTAACATTAAAATAAAATTTTTGTAAGTATTTTAAAAGCTTCTTGTTAAAAAAACCAAAGACTTGTTAACTAAAAATTAGTATTTTGAATATACCGAGGACTTGAAGTTTGCTTTGGAATGTATGGGTAAAATGAATTGGTAAAATGATGGGCTCATTTCTTAGGTTGAATATCCTAAACAAAGATAAATTACTTTTTTCTTGGTTGCAGTAATGTGTTTTAAATTAAAGTGTAGTATGTCAATATTAGCATGTCAGAAAGACTTAGTCTTAACTTTGTAGGAAAACAATGGTATTTCTGTGGTTTTCATCCTTGTTGCAGAGGTTCTGATTTAGTTTGGAGGAGGAGGGCTCAGATACATGTATTTTTTTCGGTTTCCCAATTGATTTTAATTTACATGAAGATTTAATAACTCAGTTTCCCAACTACACATTTTAAGAAAATGGGTTTTTGTGGTAGATGATGATGGTTGTGGATTTTGGTAAATAATTAAGATATACCATGTGACTTTTACTTTGTTTCAATAGTGACTTTTACCTGTCCTGTATGTAGTAAGCAGCCCCTTAATTTCTACTATAGTGTGATCCTAGAATTGGACCTTAAAATTTAGTAATAGGCGTGTTTATTTTGAGGTGGAATCTGTTCCCATGAGTTAAAAGTTATTTTCATTAAAGCCTTAATCTTTTCAAATCTTAGGGGGGGTTTTCCTTCAGTTAATACATTTATTCTATTGAACTAGAGGCCCTGCACCCTCTCCAATCTGGGACCCCTTGGGGGATGTCCGACTGCAGGCCTGCAGGGTAGGGCAGTCAGACATCCCTCTCACAATCCAGGACTATTAGCTCCCAACCACTCACCTGCCTGCCAGCCTGATCAAAGCCTAACTGTTGTCCCCTGCAGGCCTGGTTCCCACTAACTGTCCTCCCCTGCTTGCCTGGTTGCTCCCCAACTGCCCTCCCCTGCAGGCCTGGTCACTCCCAACTGCCCTCTCCTGCCAGCCTGATCACTCCTAGCTGGATCTCCCTTGTAGGCCTCATCCCGTCTCTCCCCAACTGCCCTCCCTTGCAGGCCCAATTCCCCCACAACTGCCCTCCTGCAGGGCATCTTGTGGCGGCCATTGTGTGTCTACATGGAGGTGGCCATCTTATTTGTTAGAGTGATGTCAATTTGCATATTGCCTCTTTATTAGGATAGCCTTATAATGTTGTAGATGTATTAATCTCTCTATTTGTTGCAATTATAATTTTTAAGCCTTATGTTTTAGGGCTAAGTACATTTTATTTCTGCTCTTTATTATATATATTTGTTTAATTGCACAGGTACTGACTGCCATGTAGACAAAAATGGGATGTTGACTTGCAGTTCTAGTGCTATCCTATAAGTAGGTCACAGTGTTCATTTATTAGCTGTTGTATAAAATTGAGGGAAGGAAAAAGTGGATTATGGGTATTTATAATGTATATATTTTTTACAGGCTGGACATACAACTTAACAAGTAAACTAGGCAGCAAACCCCAAGTTTATATTTCCTGTCATATTTGGACTAGAATGTTTCCAAGGAGGTTAAAAAAAAAAAAAAAGATAGTTATAGCTAGTGATTACATGCTCAATAAGACCATGTTTCTTTAAGACAAACCACAGATTGTCATGGCTAAAGTTTAATGAATGGAGTTTGTATCCTAAACAGGTTTAGAATAAGTAGTTGATCTGTTTCTTCCCCTAGAATGCTACTAATGTAACAAACCACTTCTTGTGGCTCATTTTGCTACTTGGACTCTGGAAATTTCTTTTGAGATAGTTTCAGTCAACCAGAGTATTGTTATTAGGAAAGTCCATTTAGGCTTTAATAGACAAATCAGTTGTTCTTACTAATGTTAGAGGTGGTTGAGTGCAGAGGCAGGCTGCAGCTACAAGTCCAGTGCCCATTGGTGGAAGTCAAAGACCAGAATTGTGATAGAAAGGGAAGTTAAAGGAAGTGTACTTGCTCAGCAGACACTTAAGACAAAAGTAGAAAGTATAATTAAATCTCTTAGAAATGCCAGCAGCCAATGAACGAGTGCTTCTACTTCAAGGCTTAGCATAACAGGTTTAATCCACTTTATTTTTCTTGTATAAAATTATATACAAGTGGCCACAGCTAGAGCCCGGATCCTCTGCACAGTAACTGTGGTTTGAGTCTTTACAAGATGATTAGTGAATTCTTGAAAGGGAGACTGTGAACACAGTCTCTTTCTAGAGGTCAGGGGTGAGATAGTTGAGGTCTTAGAGGTGGCACCAAAGGTGGCTTGGTGATGTTGCTCAGGGTGGCAGTGCAGCCCCTGGCCAAGGTGTAGCAGTCCATTTGGACATGGGCTGAGACGATGCCAGTGCCCTGGGGGCAGGGATGAGGCACATCAACACAGAGCCACAGTGGCAGTAACCCTGCAAGGGACAGCATGCGGCTTGTCAATGTTGTTTCCATAGTAGCCTGGCCACACAGGGACAATAGAGAGCTTGGCTAGTATGATGGCCCCACAGATGGTAGTGGCTATTTCCTCTGAGTCCTTCACACCCAGACCAACATGTCCATTGTAGTTCCCAATAGTGATAAATGCTTTGAACCAGGTGCTCTGGCCAGCATGCCTGCTTTTACACAAACATACCTTCAAAACCTCGTTTTTGAGGGTTGCTGGCAAGAAATGTCAATCATCTCAGATGCTTTGATGGGCAGGGGAAAGAGAGATCTCCAAGAACTTTATCTTCAGGTCCTTGACTTTGCCTCCTCGAGCTCTGCAACCTCAGCCTGGGTGTGATTTTGGCCCTAGATGCCACTGCCAAAACCTACATTGAAGCACC